GTGTGGTGAGCGTTCTGGCGCACTATGGCTGCCGTCGCATCATCCAGGTGGATGCTGCACATTGGTGGTGGTGGAGGGGATCCCCATTACCTGTAAAGCGCTTTGAGTGGAGTGTCCAGAAAAGCGCTATATAAGTGTAAGCAATTATTATTATTATTATTATTATTGTACTCCAGTTTCCTCCCACAGTCCAAAGAAGGCTGGCAGGTTTCTCGGCTTCTTGGCCCTGGTGTGAGTATGTATTTGTGTCTGCAGTTAGAAAAGGCATGGATGGATTTTGAAAACTTCAAAAGTCTAAAGAAAACTAAAGAAATGGGTGGAGCACACGTGGCAAAGTTCAACTAACTGAACAAGATCTGGGGGAGAGAAGAGGCATCCACACGGTCTCAGGATCTGCAGCAGCAGAATGAGATCTAGCTGTACTTCTTAGGAGCAATTTTTCGCACACAAACCCAACTCCACTCGGAGTTACAGGTATCTCCGTCTCCACCTAGCCTCATAAAAAAATAGATCATCTGTCCTCTGCTCTTCACTGGAACAGTCGAGAGCTCCGTGACACAGTCACACCTGAAAGCAAAATCTCACCTTCCCAGAAGCGCTCTGTTACACTGTGGGTGTGGGAAAGCACCCTGAGAATCAGAGGCGAGTGAAAGAGAAAGTACTGTGCAGAAAGTACTGACTGGCGTCAGTTTTCTGTCCCATGTAAGAGTGACAGGGAGGCTGTAGGAAAGGTAAAAGACCGGCCCATGGCAGTGAGCCACACCTGTAATTAAGCTTGCAAAGCTAACAGTAAAGAAGGCCCCCTAATCTCCCACAATGTTTCCACTGCAGTGAGTAATACTGAACTAATGGCCATGCGGAGGACCATGGGAAACCCATTCAAAACTGGAGGGCCACTGCGGTGCGGAACAATAGAAAGGAGCATTCTTGGCTCCCACAGTGCCCTCGCCAATTCTTCAGCCACTGTGAACCTTCCCCCTCTAATCCTGACCTTTGATCTTTGACCCCGCCCCTCCTGCCCATTCGGAAATTCCTAGGGGTCAAGTTACATCCTCCCTCCCCACCTCTTGGTCCAGGTGTTATTACACAGACCTGCCAGCATTCAGGTGGTAAAATGTCCTTCAAGCCATGAGGGCTCCCAAGAAGCATCCACAATAACTACCATGTATATCAACCCTCCAGGTCCAGGACGCTCTCTCTCGGGTGTCATTTGGTCTTGATCAAATGTCCGCCTCTCATTTTGCAGTCTCGTTTTGGTCACGTGATTGCAGCCTACTTTTGCTGCAGAGCAGAACCAGGCTTGTGGTTCCCAGCACAGGAAACTGTGGCACATGTGGTCCCACAAGAACCTTTCACCCCAAATCAGCAGAAATGTATGAAAATGCACTTTTATACGCGTCTGAGAGCAGCACACAGCACTCTCACCTGTGGAAGTGTTTAACTAAACTTAACTAATTAGAATGT